TCCTTCATAAAATTCATATAAATTCTCAATATTTTGTCTTAAGTGACTATTAAACACTACTAAATTTTCAAATTAAAAAACTGATAACAAAATTGAAAAGAACTTTGCCATCTGTGATGAAAAATAAAAGTGGCGTCTAGTTTTCTGTTCTAACTTAAAAAATCCTTCTCTCTGAATTTTAAAGCAGTCCGTCCTTGGGAGAAAAAGGCAGTGAGAATGCTACACTTTTATTTTAGTTTTGAATTTTTTTCTTTATTTTTACTTTTTATTTTTTTAAACATTCTTTTTTTTTTTTTAAATTTTATTTATTTATTTCCCCCCAAAGCCCCAGTAGATAGTTGTATGTCATAGCTGCACATCCTTCTAGTTGCTGTATGTGGGACACGGCCTCAGCATGGCTGGAGAAGCGGTGCGTCGGTGCGCGCCCGGGATGGAACGCAGGCCGCCAGCAGCGGAGCGCGCACACTTAACCGCTAAGCCATGGGGCCGGCCCTGAATTTTCTTCTTTAGATGTTGAATGGAGGAGCCTTTTGGGAAAGAGATTGAGGACATTCCAAGCTGAAGAAGATACCTTAAGCGAGAGAGCTGGGCAAGTGCAAACAGAGAAAAAAGCCAGAGAAAGACAACTCCCTAAGGAAAGAGATCTGGTAGCTGGAAAACAAGCTGCTAGAGCCTCTGAAAATAAGTTAATATGAGTTTGGCACATATTCTGAGTGCTTACCATGTGTGCGTTATGTTCTGTGTACTCTGACATATATTGTCTCATTTAATTCTCAAATCAACCTGACTTTTCATCTGGGGGGACAGAATATTAATGTAAATGAAAGTATAGAGAATAGAATAAAGATTAGGAAGACAGATATTTACATGAATAAGAGATTTCCTCTCTTCTTTTATTAGATTATTATAATTTACAGTTTTATAGCTTACTTTTATATCTACTCACAACTCTGTAAAGTAGGCAGGACAAATATTACCATGTAAATTTTTAAAGACTAAAAGAAGGTACATGATTTGCCTAAGACCATACAGCTATAGGCATACAGTGGAGATACTGCAAGTTTGGTTCCAGACCACCGCAATAAAGCGAATATCACAATAAAGTGAGTCACACAAATATTTTGGTTTCCCAGTGCATATAAAAGTTAGCTTTACACTCTACTGTTGTCTATTAAGTGTGCAATAGCATATGTATAAAAAAAAATGTACGTACCTTAACTAAAAAATACTTTATTGCTAAAAAAAAATGCTAACCATCATCTGAGTCTTCAGTAGGTCATAAACTTTTCGCTGGTGGAGGGTCTTGCCTCGATTTTGATGGCTGTTGACTAATCAGGGTGGTGGCTGCTGAAGGTTGGGGTGGCTGTGTCAATTTCTTAAACTAAGACGACAACGACATTGGCTGCACTGATTGACTCTTCCTTTCACAAACCATTTCTCTGTAGCATGCAATGCTGTTTGATAGCATTTTACCCACAGTAGAACTTCTTCCAAAATTGGAGTCAGTCCTCTCAAACCTGGCCACTGCTTTATCAACTAAGTTTATGTAATAGTCTAAATCTTTTGTTGTCATTTCAACAGTCTTCACCGCATCTTAAGAAACCACTTTCTTTTTTTTTTTTTGTGAGGAAGATCAGCCCTCAGCTAACATCCATGCTAATCCTCCTCTTTTTTTTGCTTTGAGGAAGACCGGCTCTGAGCTAACATCTATTGCCAATCCTCCTCCTTTTTTTTTCCCCAAAGCCCCAGTAGATAGTTGTCTGTCATAGTTGCACATCCTTCTAGTTGCTGTATGTGGGACGCGGCCTCAGCATGGCCAGAGAAGCGGTGTGTCGGCGCGCGCCTGGGATCCAAACCCCGGCCGCCAGTGGCGGAGTGCATGCACTTAACTGCTAAGCCACGGGGCCTGGCCCCAAAAAACCACTTTCTTTGCTCATCTAGAAGAAGCAACTCCTCATCTGTCAAAGTTTTATCATGAGATTGCAGCAATTCAGTCACATCTTTAGGCTCCACTTCTAATCCTAATTCTAGTTCTTTCGCTATTTGCACCACACCTGCAGTTACTTCCTCCAGTGAAGTCTTGAAGCTCTCAAAGTCATCCATGAAGGTGGGAATCAAATTCTTCCAAACTTCTGTTAATGTTGATATTTTGACCTCTTCCCATAAATCACAAATGTTCTTAATGGCATCTAGAATGGTGAATCCTTTCCAGAACGTTTTCTTTTTTTATATATGTATATATATTTTGTGTGTGTGTGGAAGATCGGCCCTGAGATAACATCTGCCAATCCTCCTCTTTTTTTTGCTGAGGAAGACTGGCCCTGGGCTAACATCCATGCCCATCTTCCTCTA